TGCTTCCACATCCTTCCTATAATGCGGTGACCAGAACTGTACACAATACTCCAAGTGCGGCCGCACCAGAGTTTTGTACAGCTGCAACATGACCTCATGGCTCCGAAACTCAATCCCTCTACCAATAAAACCTAACATACTGTACGCCTTCTTAACAACCCTATCAACCTGGGTGGCAACTTTCAGTGATCTATGCACGTGGACACCGAGATCTTTCTGCTCATCCACACTACCAAGAATCTTACCATTAGCCCAGTACTCTGTATTCCTGTTACTCCTTCCAAAGTGAATCACCTCACACTTTTCCGCATTAAACTCCATTTGCCACCTCTCAGCCCAGCTCTGCAGCTTATCTATGTCCCTCTGTAACCTGCAACATCCTTCCGCACTATCCACAACTCCACCGACTTCAGTGTCATCCGCAAATTTACTAACCCATCCTTCTACGCCCTCATCCAGGTCATTTATAAAAATGACAAACAGCAGTGGCCCCAAAACAGATCCCTGAGGTACACCACTAGTAACTGAACTCCAGAATGAACATTTCCCATCAACCACCACCCTCTGTCTTCTTACAGCTAGCCAATTTCTGATCCAAACCGCTAAATCACCCTCAATCCCATGCCTCTGTATTTTCTGCAATAGCCTACCATGGGGAACCTTATCAAACGCTTTACTGAAATCCAAATACACCACATCAACCGCTTTACCCTCATCCACCTGTTTGGTCACCTTCTCGAAGAACTCAATAAGGTTTGTGAGGCACGACCTACCCTTCACAAAACCGTGTTGACTATCCCTAATCAAATTATTCCTTTCTCGATGATTATAAATCCTATCCGTTATAATCCTTTCCAACACTTTACCCACAACCGAAGTAAGGCTCACTGGTCTATAATTACCAGGGTTGTCTCTACTCCCCTTCTTGAACAAGGGGACAACATTTGCTAGTCTCCAGTCTTCTGGCACTATTCCTGAAGACAATGACGACATAAAGATCAAAGCCAAAGGCTCTGCAATCTCCTATCTAGCTTCCCAGAGAATCCTAGGATAAATCCCCTCCGGCCCAGGGGACTTATCTATTTTCACACCTTCCAGAATTGCTAACACCTCCTCCTTATGAACCTCAATCCCGTCTAGTCTAATAGACTGTATCTCAGTATTCTCCTCGACTACATTGTCTTTTTCCTGTGTGAATACTGACGAAAAATATTCATTTAGCACCTCTCCTATCCCTTCGGACTCCACGCACAACTTCCCACTACTGTCCTTGACCGGCCCCAATCTTACTCTAGTCATTCTTTTATTCCTGACATACCTATAGAAAGCTTTAGGGTTTTCCTTGATCCTACCTGCTAAAGACTTCTCATGTCCCCTCCTGGCTCTTCTTAGCTCTCTCTTTGGTCATCATTGCAAGATGATTTGAGTTCAGAAGTAGGGATGTCTTACTGCAGTTATACAGGGCCTTAGTAAGACTGCAACTGAATAGGTTCATAGAATCCCTACAGTGTGGAAGCAGGCCATTCGGCCCATCGAGTCCACACTGTCCCTCCGAAGAGTATCCCTACCCCCTACCATATCCCTGCATTTCCCATCCTAAACACTATGGGCAATTTAACATAGCCAATCCACCTCACCTGAACATCTTTGAACTGTTGGAGGAAACCCACGCAGACACAGGAAAAGTGTGCAAACTCCACAAAAGACAGTTACCCAAGGCTGGAATTGAATGCAGGTCCCTGGTGTTGTGAGGCAGCAGTGCTAACTGCTGAGCCACCATGGAGTATTATGTGCAGTTTTGGCCTCTCTCCCTAAAAATGGATATGATTGCCACAGAGGAAATGCAGAGTTCTGGGCTGATACAGGGGATGGCAGGACTGTTTTATGTGGACAGATTGGTTCAACTGGGCCTGTTTGCTCTATGGTTTAGTAGGATGAGAGGGGATCTGATTGAAACATATAAAATTCAAACAGGCCTGCACAGACTAGATGCAGAGACAATGTTTCCCCAGGCTGCAGAATCTAGACTGGGGTCACAGTTTCAGAATATGGGGTAGACCGTTTAGGACTGAGACGAAGAAAAATTTCATCACTTGAACTGCAGTGAATCTGTGGAATTCTGTACTGCGGAAGACTGCGGAGGCCAAGTCACTGTATATATTCAAGAACCAGAGGGATTACTTTTTAGGTTTTAAAGGCATCTAGAGGTATTGGGAAAAAAAAAGAGGGAATTTGGCATTATTATAGATGAGCAGCCATGATCATATTGGATTGTGTAGCAGTCTCAAAGGGCCGAATGACCTACGCCTGCTCCTAGTTTCTCTGTTTTATAATTGCTTGCCAAATGCCATCTGCTTGTAAATTTCGAGCTCCTATCTCCAAATTAACCTGGAATTCACCCTCAGGTAAAACAGAAGTTGTTGCACATTTTTAAACCTTTGAGTTGCAATAAATGCTTTATGGAGAGAAAGATCAACATTTTACCACTTGCAGTGAGCGTTGAATGTTCCACTTTCCAAGATTTTCAAGCCGTCTAACTTCTTCCAAAATTACAGCAGATGAGAAGCCCCTGCAGGGATTTTTCTCTCATCTCCAATCATCTCCCTCCTTGCTCTGTAACTAGTTGCTTAAAGCTGACCCGGAGCTTCCTGGAATAATCAGTCACTGTGATTCCTGAGAGTTTCTGCAGCCCTCCCTGTGTTACAGCTGCTGACTACACCTTGGGTTCCATGGATTCCAGCCACATTCTGTTTCTCATGATGACATATTCAAGGATAACAATTCGGATTGTGTCTAAATCCGAACATCTGTGATTTCTAACAAGGTTCAATGGATTAACTGTGTATATCACCTTTTGGAATCTGGTCTCTGTGTAACCAGACCAAGAGATCGATGTGCAGACAGAATGCTCCTTACTATGACCTGGGAGAATGCAATTAATTTCCTCAAAACATTCATGTTCCTTGTGTGTTTTTCAGGAATGACCCAGGTTTGTCCAGCATTCCCAGGACTGATCAGGCCCAACAGCCATCTGCCCCAGGTACTGACTGTACTCTAACTGACCAATCAATGTTCATTTCAGACACTGTAACAGAGAGAGTGTGAAGCATCAACACAGTGGGAATCCTGGACAGATATTCAGGGGCAGACTTTCACTGCCCAAGTGATGAAGTGATTGCACAGTTTCAAATCATTGAAAGTATCAGAACGAAAAGCAGTGGGCTTCCATAGTGAGTAGCTGTCCTGACAAGTAGTCCAGAATACAAAAGAGGAAAGAACTAAAACAAAGAATCACCATCTGTGGAGAAAAAACTAGGCAAAGTATGAGACCTTAAGACGGACAAGTCCAGATCACCTGAAGCCTGGGCATTAAAAGAAGTGGTTGCTGAGATCGTAGATGCATTGAGTGGGATCTCCCAGCATTTCTTCTGAAAGAGTCCAACAGATTGGGAAATAGCAAATGTAAAACATTTCTTAAAGAATGGTGGGAAGCCAAAGACACAAGTTAATTGACCTATAAATTTGGGGAGAAAAAGGGCACCATTTTAAAGTGCTTTGCAAAAGAAGCCAATGCGAGGTGAGAGAAAAACATTTTCACTCAACACGTAATTTGTTTGTGGAACACATTGCCTGGAAGTGTGGTGGAAGCAGGTTCAATTGAAACATTCAAGAGGGCATTGGATAACTAAGTGGAAACAATATCTAGGATTATTAGGAAAAGGCAGTTAGCACAAGTCAAAATATTCAAAGAGCCATTTGACAAGGTAGGTCGAAAGGCTTTCTTCTGCTACGTAACAAATCTGTGATTCTGCACTCCTGTGATAGTAGGATATCTCAACATCGGATCAACTCAGTGGATGTAACTTTGGTTAACGGAAATAGTGTTTAACTAATTTATGAGTGTTTTTGAGGAAGTAATAATCAATGTGGATAAAAAGAAACCAGTAGATGGGATGTACATTCATCACAAGTGGACTACTACAGAGATTAGCCCTTGGACCTCAACATTTTACGATCTTTATCAATGACAATTAATTCATGGGCCAGATGACTGGAATGGTCATTACATTTTTTCCAATGACACCAACGTATGCAGGAAAGTAAGTTGTTGGGAGTAGTTAGAGTGTCTGTGAATGGTATTGGCAGTTTAAGTGAGTGGGTAAAAATTTGGTGGATGTAGTACAATGTGAGAAAATGTGATGTTGTCCACCTTGGCAGAAGGAATCAAAAAGTAGTGTCCTATTTAAATGGAGAAATATTGCAGAGATAAGAGGTTCAGAGGAATCTAGGTATATGAGTCGCAAGGTTAGTGCTTATTGCAAGGACAATGGAATATAAAAGAAGGAAGGATTTACTGTAGCAGTATAGGGCCTTGGTGAGACCACATCTGCAGTACTGTGTACACTACACACTCTTTCTTTGAAAAAAGAGTATAAACGCAAAAGAGGCAGTTCAGAAAAAAGTTGACTGGGCTCATTACCCAATGCTATCACTGCTCATTAACAATCAATGGTGATACCATCACTAAAACACCCGCTTTCAACATCTTGGTGTCAATGGGATTACCATTGACCAGAAACTCAACTCGACTCATCACATAAACTCAGTGGCTACATGAGCAGGTCAGAAGCTAGGAATATTGCGTCGACTAACTCACCTCCTGACTCCCCAAAACCTGTTCATCATCGACAAGGCACAAGTCAGTAGTGTAATGGAATACTCCCCACTTGCCTGGCTGCTTGCAGCTCTAACAACACTCACGAAGCTTGATGCTATCCAGGATAAAGCAGCCCACTTGACTGGCACTAGCATTGGCATTGTGGGTCAACCCACAGCAGGTGGACTGCAGCAGTTCAAGAAGAGGCTCACCATCACCTTCTCAGGGCAACTAGGGACAGGCAATAAATGCTAGCTAGTCAGTGACACCACATTACACAAATGAAAATAAAAATGAGGAAATGTTGGACAGACAGGGCCAGTACCAATTGGAAGTTTGAAGAATGAGAGACAATTCTATTGAAACAAATAAGATCCTAGGGGGTACTTGACTGAGCAGAGGGTGAGGTGATGTTTCCCCTTGTGACCTAGAAATAGGGAAAATAGTTTCAGAATAAGATCTTGCCTTGGAAAAAAAATGTTCTGCCTGACTTTTGACATTTATCTGTGGAATTCTGTTTGTCAGATAGTGGTGTCCAAAATTGTAAGTGGCTGGACAGACAGTTAGGGAGAATCTATTGCCTCTTCAAAAAGGAAGAAGAATGAGAGGGCATAGGTTTAAAGTGATGTGCGAATGGAGCAAGGGCAATGTGAGAATAGATTGTTCACCCAGTGAATAGTTCATTTCTGTAAATATGCAGGCAGGGTCAATTGAGGCATTCAAGAAGGTCATTGGATGATTATTTGGATGGAAATGGTGTGCAAGGGGATACAGAGAAAAGGCAGGAGATTGGCCCTAAGTAATGATACTCGTTTGAAGACCTGGTTCAGACAAGATGGATCAAATGGCTTTCTTCTGCAGTGTAACAAGTCTGTGATTTTGAGAAACCAATGGAGACTGAGTCATTGAATCCATCCAAGGTACAGTCAGATAGATCTTTGATGGATAATAAAATCAATGGCTATGGGACTCAGGAAGGTGGAGTTAACACTGTTCTATTGAAACATATAAGATCCTGGGGGGTACTTGATTAAGCAGAGGGTGAAGGGATGTTTCCCCTTGTGGGGTAGCCTAGAATTGCCATGATCTAATTGAATGGTGTAGCAGGCATGAAGGACTGAATGGCCTAATCCTATTCCTGAATCTGATGTTGCTATGGAGTCTGGCTTCCTATGCTAAATTACTGGCTTGGATTCTGTCTTCTGTCTCTGTTATGATTTACGTTCCATCTGCATGCTGAGTTTGGATCCAGAACGAGGCTCCATTTCAGTGTCAGCCGTCTCAAATTACTGGTGGTACCTGGTTCGGATAGTGTATGGGGAGGGGCTGCAGTGTTAAACAAAGCTCATCTCTGTGCTATCTTATACTGTTCCTGTAAAATGGGGATTTCCCAACAGTCACTACAAATAAATAAAAGGAAATCAGTGACCATTAGGAACTTTTGGATGTCATGAGGTCATGAAATATGCCATATAAATGCAAGTTCTTTCCTTCCTTATGATGTAGAAATGCAAAAACAAATTTGTGCACAACAAGGTCCCACAAACAGCAATGCATTCATTCAGCTAACCTGTGTATTTTAGTGATGTACACTGAGGGATGTCTGTTGGTGAGGACACAATGATCTGGGTTGAGGGATGAGTGACAAGGACACAATAGAGAGCTCCTCTGTTCCCCTTTGAAGTAATACGTGTGGAATTTTCACATCTACCTGAGAAAGCAGGCTACAGTTACCTTTAACATCTCCAATGGTCCTGCTCCAAAGTCTCAGCTTATATTTAATGTTGTAGCATTTGGAATGGAGTTTGAACCCACAACCTTCTAATTCAGTGTAGTATGAGGTGCCCACTGAGCCATTGCTGATATCTAAGGACAAACCTGCTGATGAATGTCCCGTTATAATTCCTGTATGTGTTACAGATCAGGATGATTCCAGCTTCTATGCCGAGATTGACAGCAACAGAACAGGTAAATGGCTTCACCTTAATGGTTTTGAGCTGTTGTTTAATTTATAATCAGATTCTATCATTGAACCAACAGAACATTTTGTCTTTGTTAAAGGTGGCAAGAGATTCACAATCAGTGGTTCAGAAGACCGTGAGTCGATGTTTCCTTTTATATTGAGAAAATATAGAGTTTGAGATCACGCCCATTCCACCATATCTTTGTGAGCTGATTTCATCATGGGTCTGGTTTCCTGAGTAGGGTGTTTACTGCTGCACTGGGAAACTGTTCAATGATGTGTGCTTCCCCCACCGTCAGAGATTCATCACAAATAAGAACTCCCAGTTCAGTTTTAAGTGACCATAAATTCTCCCCTGACGAGCTGCTACATTACGTGATCCCCAACCAGTACCATTCCCTTGGTACGGATTTGTTAAAGGACGGCCATGTCTGACAAGCTGGATTGATTTTTTTTTAAGGAGTAATGAAGGATGCTTGATTGGGTGTTACACATTGTCCATCAACATGGTTGTTAGCAAGCTCTTTGGCAAGGTTCCGCGTGGTACATTGGTCACAAAATCAAAAGCTTATGAGATCCAGAGGAAAGTGGCAAGTTTGATCCAAAGCAGGAAGGAGGGTTTAGAGTTAGAGGATGGTTTTGTGACTGGGATGCTATTCCTAGTGAGGTCCCATATTGCTCAGTACTAGTTCCCTTACTGTTCAGGTTATATCAATGGTTTAGACTTGTATGTACGTGACATGAAAGCAGCAAAACAGGGGGACTCAGGGGTACTTGTGCACAAAACAAGGATGTAGAAGAGGTTTACCAGATTGTTACCTGGATTGGAATGTAGTAACTATAAAGAGAGGTTGGACAAACTTGGATTGTTTTCACAACAGCGTTGGGGATGAGGAGTGACCTGATAGAAATTAATAAAATTATGAGTGGCATGGATAGGGTGAATAGTTGGAGTATTTTCACAGCACGGAGATGTCAAATACCATGTGGTAAAGGTTTAAGGTGAGAGGGGAAATGTTTGAGGGAGATGTGAATGGATAGTTTTTTATACAGAGGGTGGTTAGCGTTTGGAATGCTTTGCCAAGGGAGGTGGTAGAAACAGATACATTAGCAACATTTAATAGTCATTTAGATAGGCACATGAACAGCAGGAACAGTGTTGAATGGACCTTAAGCAGGCAGAGGGGATTAGTTTAAAATGGCATCATGGTTGGCACAGACATGGTGGACTGAAGGACTTGTTCTTGACCATACTGTTCTACATTCTGTATTCTGTTTTGAGAGAACTTAATAACCAGACAGCAAGAGCTTGCAGTAATTGGTGGAAGGATTGGAATGGAGTTGAGGAGTAAATTTATGTCTCAGAGAATTCTGGGTTTGTGGACATCACAGAAAGGGTGTTAGAGGAAGAAACCTTCATCACATTTAAAACTCACTTGGATAAGCACTTGAAGAACTTGAACATTCAGGGATATGGGCCAGGTGCTGGAAGGTGTGTTGATCTGGAGAGCTCTTTATCAATCAGCGCATACACAATGGTCTGAAAAGCCTTCTCTTGTTCTGGAAAACTTTCAATAAATTAATAGAAATTGCTGGAGAAACTCAGCAGGTCTGATGATAGTATAAGGTAGGGGTGGAGGTTAGATAGACCTTAGGTTTAGGATAAAAGTTCAGCACAACATCGTGGGCCGAAGGGCCTGTACTATGCTGTACTGTTCCATGTTCTATGTTCTACGTTCTATGTCTTGCAACATCTGTGGAGAGAAAGCAGAGGTAATATTTCAAATCTAATGGCTCTTCTTCAGAACTGTTTGCAGGTGGGGAAAGGTGGTACATATGCTGAAGACATGGGTGGGGGAGGGAAGAGGAGTGAGCTGATAGATGGAATAAAAACGAGATGGAGCTCAGAGACAGAGAACGAAAATTAGATGGTCAAAGAGCTGGACAATAGTATACCATTGGAAAAAGAAACACTGATAATGAGGACAATAAGTCAGTGAAAATGGCTTGGTTATGCTGAAAACAATCCATGTCATGACAGGGATACCAAGGTCTAGAGCTGGATGAACACAGCAGGCCAAGCAGCATCAGAGGAGCAGGAAGGCTGACGTTTCGGGCCTGGACCCTTCTTCAGAAATGGGAGAGGGGAAGGTGGTTCTGAAATAAATAGGTAGAGAGGGGGAGGTGGATAGAAGATGGATAGAGGAGAAGATAGGTGGAGACGAGACAGACAAGTCAAAGAGGTGGGGATGGAGCCAGTAAAGGTGAGTGTAGGTGGGGAGTTAGGGAGGAGATAGATCAGTCCAGGGAGGACGGAATGAGGTTAATAGGTAGAAGATGGGGGTGGGGCTTGAGGTGGGAGGAGGGGATAGGTGGGAGGAAGGACAGGTTAGGGAGGCGGGGACGAGCTGGGCTGGTTTTGGGATGCGGTAGGGGGAGGGGAGATTTTGAAGCTTGTGAAATCCACATCAAGCAGATGTTCACCTGCACATCTGCTAAAGGAGTATACTGTATCCGCTGTTCCTGTTGTGGCCTCCCCTACATCGGGGAAACCAAGCGGAGGCTTGGGGACTGCTTTGCAGAACACCTACGCTCGGTTCGCACTGAACAACTGCACCTCCCAGTCGTGAACCATTTCAACTCCCCCTCCCATTCCTCAGATGACATGTCCATCCTGGGCCTCCTGCA